CTAATGCTGAGGATTTACATGCTGCTTCACATGACTCCCCCGGTGAGCCCAACACTGGCTAAATTCACAAAAGAGTAGTGTGTTGTTTGTAGAAACTTGGCGACTAACCTTGAATGCTGAACTTGGGGGCCATGCAGAAATTTTGCTGCAAAGGTCGCGCGATATTAGCATACTTACTCTGATCAACATTCGCTCCAAAGTAAATTCGCTAGGAATTAATGGTCCAGGCTGAAATTTCAAGCACTGAGCGGATATGATTTCACGCTCCACGATGATTATTACAAACCTTGTTAGCCAAGGCTTTTTGAACTGCCTCTCTTAGCGCTGACGAATTGTCGATGTCAACCGTGTAGACGTAAGGTTCACCTATACGTTCCAAGTAGGGTGACTGACTACTCAACTGAAAAATCTAAGTGCCATTTTTGCACCACAGAGCAAAGTTTTTTCATACTTGAAGCCAGATGTCTACTTGTTTGTCTGTCTTTTGCATACATGTTATACGTGGGTGCGTTCTGGAGTATTCCATTACTACTGAACCGACAAAGACCAGATTTTCCATACATTAACTTCGGGAGGGCTCTGTCATAGACTACTCTTCGTTATCGACCAATCTTAATTTTATAATTTTTTGCGAATTTGAGTTGCAATGTTGGTACTTGTTACGGCGGATACGCAAGCCTGCTGGTTAGATGAAATCATCGCTCGCAAAAAGAGCCCCTTACTATTTTTTAGCAAATTTTAGGCTGGGGCGCTGAGGGGTGCAGTCTCTCCCAATCGGAACAGATAAAATTGATGTCACCCATATCCGCATCGCCACAATTTTGAGTCACGTCTACTTCTGGCTTGTCTGCTCTAACTTGAATCTCTTCGCTCTTTCCAACAGTACACATATGCAGCGCGAACCCTTACAAGGGAGGGAAGGTTGGTCGAAGTGGCCCTGTCAAAATGAGATGTTCACTGTCTTGTAGAGCTTGCAACGCTATACCAAATCTGCCTTCGCTATCTGCTGCGAGCTTCGAGGAGTTATGGGTCTTGTGAGTAAAAAGTTACATGCAAAATTAGTGTAAAATCAGTCGTAACATTTTTATAGGGCTTAACTGGTAATCGGGTCACTCGGTGCAACAAACATTCTTGATTCAAATACACCAACTCGCTGCCGTCTCATTCGAACATCAGGAAAAGGCTACGCCTGTTATACTAATCTTGCATTTAAATTTTTACCACAAAGACCTTCATAACTCCTCGCCCAGAGACCCGCAGCAGATAGCAAAGATAGATTTGGAATCAACGTTGCAAGCTCTACAAGAAATTGTACATCTTATCTTAAAAGCCCATTTCGACCACTCTTCCTTCCCTTGCGGCCGACCGCGCAAAGTTGAGCCAAGTTTCGGCCTGACCTTGCAATAGAGACTGTGAGTGAGAATGCACCAGTATGGAAGAAATTGCGTTTATAGTTCAAGCTTTTGCAAGCTTCGAGCTGGGGAGCAAAGGGTTATAAGTTAAGTGAGCATACTGATTACGAGGAGACAATGGGGGAAGGGGAGGGACGGGGCACTGGCTAGGAGTGGGACAGGGAGATAGAGAAATGTTATGTGAAAGTAGTTGTTAGATTTTTGTTGTTATATTGAAAAGACCACGAAGTCCGTCTCAGCTAGTAAAAAAAACGTAACAGAGTTTTGCACCGCAAGTGCCAAATATTTAGACTAGAAACAAAAAAAGTAACACAGCAGTTCTATGCTTCGCCTTCGGTTTACTTAAACAGAACGACAGTTACGGCTGAAAGAAGACCTCGAAAGAAGATTTGTATTACGTTAACATATTCAGGAAAGATGTAAGCTCTCTCTTCTTTACTAGCTGCTGATAGTCTAGCAGTAAACTGCATAAATTGAATTTTTGTTGTCTTGTCAGAAATGGTATCCACTTCCTCAAGCTGGAAAAGGCCTTGCCTAAGCATGACAGATTACACTACGCTTTTCCTCTCTATGAATGTATGAGAACTTTCTTCGGCATACTATTTGCAACCATTTCGTTTATTTTTGTAAGGCCAACAATCTTCTTTTCCATAGCTTCCGACTCTTGTAAAATCATATCACATTTCGTGTTTTTTCTGAGAAGCTCGTCACCCAATTTATGAATTCCAGCACGCTCCAATTTTTTGCATTACATGCATGTAGCTCCAGCATGCAAAGAGGCGAGCTGATTTGGCTGGGTTCATACTGATTCCCATGTTCTGGAACTGTTCCCGCACAGTTTTCGCACTGTGCTGGAACTTTGCGGGAACAGTTCCGGGACTGTGCTGCACGTGCTGCAACCGCCCCGCACCGTTTTGAACGGCGGGAGTTGGAGAATTTTGACCGTTCTCAACGGTTTTTCTTTCAGATTTCTCTCATTTTCGCCTTATTCCTCCACCCCGCTTTCTTTTTTGATCAGCAGAACTTTGAACTCGAATCGGGTTGAAGAATGAGCGCCTTTCTGCTCTGTGTATGCGACAAAACGGGTGTTCTTGTGCTCGTCCGTTCTCTCTTCGCTATTTTTGCTCAAAATTACTTCATCTGTTCCAGGAAGCCGCTGCTAGTTTCCATAGCCATCTGCCACGAATTAGGGAGTAGGAGCAATTCTGAAACTGCATGAGTTGGGACTTGTCTCTCGTTTTTGATGAGTTTTGATTTTGAGCGTTCTCAGCCCCTTTCCTTTTCCATATTGTTGCTTTTTCGTTCTTTCTTCTACCCCGCTTCGCGTGGTGATGAGAAAAGCTGCGAACTTGAAGCGGGGTTGAGGACTGAACGCTGTTCTGCTTCATGTATTGAATCCGGGAAAATGGACCTTCGTGCGCTCGTTCATCTTCTCTGCCATTTTTGTTCAGGCCTACTTCATGTAGAGACTTGTCTATGTCAATTTCAATACAAATGTGAGACTACGCAGCGACATGCTAGAACACATGAAGTAGGTCTGAGCAAAAATAGCGATGAGAGAAAGGGCGAGCACAAGAACACGTTTTGTTGCATACACAGAGCAGAAAAGCGCTTATTCTTCAACCCGATTCGAGTTCGAAGTTCTGCTGATCAAAAAGGACAGCGGGGTGGAGGAATAAGGCCAAAATGAGAGAAATCTGAAAGGAAAACCGTTGAGAATGGTCAAAATTCTCCAACTCCCGCCGTTAAAAACGGTGCGGGGCGGTTGCAGCACTTGCAGCACAGTTCCGGAACTGTTTCCGCACAGTTCCAGCACACTGCGAGAACTGTGCGAGAACAGTTCCAGAACATGGGAATCAGTATGAACCCAGCCTTTAACGCATGGTTGCTGCAAAAAATGGGTGTCGTCCCAGGGCTTCTATCCGAAAGAAAAATAGAATAACTGGATTTTCATATGTCACGAGTATTTTTTGGCGTGGTAAACAACATATTTTTTGGCCAGAGAACATACAAAAAAATAACTGCACAATTAGGTTATGAGTCAAGAATTGCTGCTAGATTTCATGACCGGAGAACATACAAGATAAATGCATAATTATTCATTTAGTTTCAAAAAAGTTTCCGTTGCGCAACGAGACTTCCCATGAGAGCGTAAAATTCACCCTAATTTCACACATACAAGGCGTGAAGAATTTTTTCAAAATCGACCAGCCCAGACACACGAGGATCTCGCAACAAAAGGACCGTATACCGTGCCGTATATTGCTTAGCAAAATCGTGCGACATACAAATATATTTCGAGATACAGTCAAGCGGCTAAGCGACTCGCTTGCAAAATCGAAAAAGTGCGCCTTGTACGCGTGAAATTAGGTTAACCACTATTTGTGATAGCTAAGGCTCCCGCCAGAGTGCCGAAGCCATGCCAGCGCTACGCCAGCGCCGAGCCAGCGTTTCGATCGATATACGTGTATTTAGTTGGGGCGGAGCTAGCTGACTTAGTTCTCAGCCAGGACCCCGCTCCAACGAAATACACGTGTATCGATCGAAACGCTGGCTCGGCGCTGGCGTAGCGCTGGCATGGCTTCGGCACTCTGGCGGGAGCCTAACAAAGCCATAAGCAATTCAATGACTATTTGGAATCACATTCGTTCTTTTGGTGTGTGTACTTTCGTGCCAAATCCACGTTCCCATAAAAAGCCTTTGGAATGAGTACTGTTTAGAATTCAATTGTAAATCAGCATTTCTGGTTAGTTGTGAACATATGATTATGTCGATGCAACGTTGCCTTCTCCCTCAAGGTTGTTGCATATTATTCTACGGTTACTGTTACGCCGCGGCAACGCGGAATAAACGTTATAGACTTCCCAGCTTCATCTTTTCTCAAAATATGCAGCCGTTACCGTACAAGAGATAAGTGCGCTGGATACAATAGTCGCGAGCGAGCAAGCATGGGCAAGTTGATAGTTTCGCTTTTTCCGATTGGTTCACTCTTGCTTTCATTGTACTTTGTTTCTGACTTGCTTTCCGCCCTCTTGATATCAAAATAGGCTAGAATATTCATTTGTGCATTTCTTCCGTTTCTACGCCAAAAAGAGCTTCTACTATTTTGATTATTAGCTTTTTTCACTCCAAAAGGCTTCTACTAATCCATCATTTCTTTGGCACTTTGCTATTTCAGCGCCATAAAAGCGTTACTTTTTGCTAACTTGTCTGCGCAATTTGCTAATCCAGGCTAAAAATTAATTCAATCTGTCATTTGTTTACGCCTTTTACATACTTATGCAGAAAAAGTTCATACTTTTTTTTTCATCTGTTTGCGCAACATGCTGTAAAGTTCCAGATTAGGTTTACCACCTAAGCTTGAGTTTGAGGAAGATATATCGCGCGCCGATGGTGTGTGCGTAGGTCTTGGTTAGTCGAAAATAACCTCGTAGGAGCTATCATAAGTGATGTGAACTGGATGAAAGCACTCAAGTTGTATCTACGAGGCATCAGCAATGGCATCATCAGTTGCACTTTACAACTGACCCTTGAACCTACCTCTCTTAACGTGGGCTTTTCGGAGAAGAACGGCGTGTTTAGTCGAGATTAAAGACGAGTAAACTTGGCATTTATGAAAACAGCGCCGTTTGCTAAAGCTTCCAAGGGAGCTGGACCTACAGCCTTTATATCTGAGTATGGGAATTGATCTATTCACCTTATTCAATATTCACCTTCTATAGGAAATCCGAGTCCCATAAAGATGTCAACCGATTTCAGTAGGGAAGCTATATTTACTCCAGTCAGTATACCATGATTAGTCACATTAACGAATATCGCCGTTTTGGATTTTGCTGCATCAGCTACAGTGGCATGTACCTGTGAACTATGTTTTACTTTGCTTGAAGCTCGAGTAGTATTCATACTTCTGTTAGATTTTTCAGCACATCAAGAACTCCATCTTTGTTGTTCCACATGTATGCTGCTTTTCCGTAAACAAGGGAAGCTGGACGTTCATGGGAACCTCGTTCAAAAAATGGTTTGACATCGGGACTGTGGACAGCAAAACCCAAGAAGTCGTTATCGGGAGTGTGTGGAAAAAAGGTCCAATGCTGTAGAAGCTGAAGACCTATTCCACCGTAAGCGTTACCTGCGGATCAAGAATCTAAGGCATGAAGATAAAAGAGTGAAAGTGATTTACCTTTTCCTCCTAGTTCTGTCTTGTGCTTGTTGTAGTAATCGCTATCACTAAATTCAATATGAGTTCCAAAGCTATCCAGCAATCTTATACGGCATTTGAAATGTGGAATGCGTCTCAACAGCTTATCAGAATAAGGCATAACTTTTGTAGTTTGCCTGTTTTATACATGTTGTTTGATGTTTGTATAATCATCAGGTTCTCTCACATTACGAGAACTCATTATAAAGTCTTTAAACCTCATAGCGTCTTCCAACTAGATCTGATGTCGGCAACGCAAGGGATTGTAGGCTCCTGCGGTCTATTGTGCGTTCTGGTTTTGCAATGCAAGGTAGGATGCGCTCACAAGTTTGCTCACGCTCTCTCCTATATACAGGGTGCGTCAAAAGTCTGGGAGTCTAACTTTGCAGTATTGCAATTACAAAGGTACTTATGGTTTTGAGTCCAATTTTATGCCACATGATGCTGCGTTCATCCTCTACAAAATACACTTTACCTAGCTGGGAATGGCTGCCATATGCTTTTGTAAGAGGAAATTAAAAACTAGTACTTTTGCAAAGAGAGAAAACCAGAATTTTTGGTATTTGCACAATTTTTGCTATAGCTAGAAATACTGTTAATATTCTACGACACTTCGATGCACACAATATAGAAGAGGCTTCGCGCTATTGGATCGTAGCTTGCTTTTGCCAGGAGCTGTTCTTGCATAAACGGAAAATAAAAGTTTGCGAATGTTACCTACGTGCCAGTGGAAATCCGTCTTCAGAATAAATTTAAAAGCTATAGAAGCGCAACAGGCATTGGAACCAAGGTTATATTTTTTGCATACGTCTTCTAAATTAGAATCTATCGAAATTCGGCCATGGAAACACTTTTTATGCTTTTTAAACGATAATTTTAAGTTTTTTTTTCACGCAACTATAGCCAAAATTCCGGTGTGCGACGTAACATGCTTCTAATTAAAAATCCAGTATTTTTATTTCTAAGCAATTCAAAAAATTCTTTTGGAAGTATGTTGTAGATAAAAGCTTGCTCTACAGTGCTGCACATTTGCCAAGGTAAAAGAAGCAGTTATTGTGAAGGCGTGGGGCAAATTTCATTACGACTACCTGCGTGCCGTGACAGGTGGACTTGCCAAGAGGCAATTTTGCAATTCAAGAACTGGGCTGAATCTGCAATGGTTCGAAATATGTCTGCGCCAAATTTTTCGTCTTTAGGTACTTCCCTTCTCATTTTGTACAAAAAAGTACTAGGCTCCCAGACTTTTGACGCACCCTGTATATTTGGCAGCTATTTAATATTCGTGAACGGTTAAAACTAAGCACAAATCCTTAGTTTGGGAAGACATACAAAGCAATTTGTGTGATACAAATTGGCTCGTACAGCTCACTGTAACAGCTACACTGGCATGTAACTATGAGCTATCGCTGGAAGCTTTAATTTGCTTGAAGCTTAAGTTGTATTCATACTTCTGTCAGCTGTCCTTTGGTGCTGCTTGCTGAAACATCAGCAAGAACAACATTTCGATCTAGCCGAGCTTGAATCAAGCGTTATTTGTAGTGTTTGTTAGCGTTGGTTGGATAGCAAGGATGAACATGGGGTGATTCAACTGCAGTTCTGCATTCTTCGCTCCTTATTATTTTAAAATGTCTACATTTTGCTAATCAGGGAAAGATTCAAAATCGCACTGACGTCTTGAGAAACGATGTATCTTGAATCTTCGGAATACCTGCACATATTTAAAGCTCATTACTAGTAAATGTGTTGGTTAGTGTGTTCGTTATAGAAACTCAAGTGTGGATATATCAGCGAATGACTTTGCAGACATGTGTTATCAAAGTAGGTCGTTTCATAACCTACTTTACGCGGCAATATTTACATCCCTTCTAATGATTTATTGATTTTCGGCACTTTTCGAGGGAGAAAAATCAATCCTTATCATACCGATTTCTTATTTCAAACAACAGCTAGATTCATTTTCAAGCGGTGAAGACAAAGCGGTCGTTTGAAGCGAGTAAAAAATCAAGCTCAGGCATAATGAAAAGGGGTGTCCGCAGTGAGTATATCGCAGAGAGGGAAGAAGGGCAAGCGAGCGAACGGAAGCAATCCAAGACAAACCAGTCTTTGCAAAGCTAAGACGGGATTTCTTTTATATAAGCGGCTCAAGAAACCGAGCACTCCAGCTAACCTCCACAGTTCGCTGCTATACTCCTTGAGAGTTATGAGAAAAGACGTTCCTGTCGCAGGCTGCTAGGAGCTTTGGTTCACGAAAGTGTAGCTTCAAGTTAACTACAGCGGGTTCGATAATTCTTACGTGCGATGTTATCGCAAGAAGTCTAATATTGGCAGGCATTCGTAGCAATGTTCCAGTTATCTAGCCAGCCAGCAATTCCTCACTCTCATAGGAGAAGCTGAGAAAGTTCGCTAGCCAACGATTAATCAAGCGTGGTATGTTCAGAGTATGATAGTCACTAATGCCAAATACCGCACGCGATACATTGCGATTGTTAATCTTTGGTACAATGATTTCTGGGCAAAACATTTAGCATCCTTTCGCAACAACGAGAAAAAAATTTGAAAAGTTCTCTTTTAGTCTAATATAAACAGCACACTTACCTATCAAGTGTTGAAATTCGCTTTTGATCGATTGCCCATTTGATGCCAAGTATGTCGGTAATAAGTAAGTCTATTTGACCAATGTGAGAATTGTTTCTTTCAAGAAATCTGCAACCTTAATCACATCCGCTGTCGCAAACAAAAGCGTTGTCAAAAAAAGATTTGCATTAAAATAGCAGCTCTGCATCTTTACTATTTAGTTAAAATGCAAAGTAGAAAGAAAATCCTCGGGTGGCGCAAATGAGGGACCTACCGTTCTCTTCTTTTCAGCACTTATGATTCGATCCCGCCCCTGAGCCAAACAAGTCTCTACCCTGCGAAGACTGTACGTCAGCAACAGATTAATCTGGGAGGATTATTGCTCACTTGTTAACCGGTTGACCTTCGCAAGTCATTGCAAGGTTGGACGCATTCAGAAGCCTCTTCAACTATGGAGTAGAACGCATCCGGCGCATGCCCACTTAATAGAGACGCCGAATTCTTCATGCTACACGAAAGGATTTTAGTTGCATGTAGACAAAATGAAACATTTGTCTTTCATTTTTCATTTGCGCTGAAGGACACGATGTCGAACAAATGTTTTGGATAGTATTGACCCTCACCATTTGTTGGTAGTCAGATCTTCTTCTAATACAGATTCCTACCATTGATTTCTAAAGGCATGCATGGTAAGTTTGATTAATTTAGGGCAGACTGTAATGCTCATCCCCAAGTTTGTCGCAGCTCTGACCACAACATAGCATCCCGGGATAGCAGTATCTGACCACAACATAGCATCCCAGTCGATTCCGGACATACATTGTATCAATCAAAACATAAGCTGATGCTCAGTTTTCCTTATGTGGTACAGTCGAATGGGAGAGCCATAAGGCACACAATGCCCATTTTGACGTTCCATGTGTGGATAAATATAGCACTTGCGCGTAAATAAAATGCTACCCCTGTGGGTAACGGCCCAGTGTGCATATTTTCAAGTTTTGCGCGACTATGCGCATGGGTTTACGAAAGGAAACGACCAAGAGGCACGGTCGGCGCGAAGTTGGAGCAAGTTTCCGGCACGAGGTCTGTTTTATTTGAGAGCTGCTAGCCTACACGTCATTATAGCTAACTTACTTGACAAAAGTGTTCTTGTCTGCAGAGATAGAAAGTCTATGTCCTAAAATGAACAGGCAAGCGATCAAATCCGTCCATTGCAGGAGTTCACCTAAAGGTCCTCCTTTCCAAGCTCTTGTCGCAAAACTTTTGTAAGTTGCTAGAAATCCTAGGTGAATGATGATCTAAAGGTTTTACTTCATCTATAGAGGAGCACATTCTGTTAACCCACATTCATCTTTTTTCTTTTTGCTAGTACATTCGGGTACGCACTCCGCACTTTCTTGGACGCCTCCAGCCAACTCGGCCAGTATTCGTGAAGTCTCGTTTTTGTGTAGTTGAAAATTCTTTGATCGCCTACGAATAAGCTTAGAAGTTCGGTCAGATTGCGACGAAGCTGAAGAGTGATGGGATGATACATGGAAATCTTTGAAAGCAGCAGGAGCACCTTACTTCTTCTACATCAGATGTTATTCTTGAATCAGCTTCTCCTCGATTTGGTTTTAATTTTGGATCAACTTCTTCTCTTATTAAATTGAGTGGAGGACAAAGTTTTTCGACGTCAGCAAGGTATTTTCGAATGGAGCACAAAGATCTGAAGATTAGCAGTTGGACTTTAGGTCCCACCAGCTAATACAGACCCATTGACTCCATTAGCTATGTAGCGAACGTGAGTTCTCCATAATTTTTGTATTCGCGACATTTCTTGCAAACATTTTGGATACCTTGACGCGTTCGGTAGAAATAAGCAGACTGCTGAAATTAGACAATTAGCAATGCAACTGGTTGTTAAACTATTTGGTTTACAACCTGTAAGGGAGCCTTCATACCGCGCCGCTAGCAGCCCGTAGCAGCCTGCAGCAGCCGCTGGCCGCTTTTGTCATAGAAGCGCAATCACCAAATTCTTACCACTTTGAGTGCGCCCGCCCACGCTTTCCATCTTCCAAGCTTCTTTCATCCTATTGCCGCTAATGTGCAGTTCCACACTTGGTTATTCAAGATAAGCACCGGCCAAGGATGTGATTGAAGCAGAACCACACTTGAAAAATAACCGCTAAGAAACTTTGGCGAAATATGGTTCAACAGCGTGCGGGAAACTGAGCACCAATAGGATAACCAATCTACGGCAACAAGATTTTAACGACAAACCAAGTATGAGATCAGGAAGGAACAGGAAGGAAAAAGCGTGGAAGATGAAAAGCGTGGGCGTTTGCACTTAGAATAGTAAGAATTTGATGATTTTGCGCTTGTATGACAGAAGCGACCAGGCGGTGGCTATGGGCTGCTACGGGCTGCCAGCGGCGGCTGCCGGCGTGGTATGAAGGCACCCTTAAATAAAAGTATAGAAGTTGAATGGATGCAAATGTATGAAAATTTTGTAAAAACGCTTCACGCATCTTATATATAAAGCTGAATGTCTGTTTGTACAGGGTG